TTGAAACACTACTATTATTGAGAGTCATTTATCGTCAATTAAGAATAAGGCACTGAGCTAGTTTTTCATGTAAGAAATGGAGCTCGGACTCTAATATATTTTACGCTCTCAGATGAATCGATGCAGATAAAATTCTCTACATTAGCGTGAAAGGGTTATGCAACCTTTTCTGGGCTCTCACAAAAGCTTTCACAGGGAAAGGTAGACCGTTGGACCGATGGACCACGACCTTGTGAGATATGACCGGAACTTCCGGGACATCTTCTACCTCACTTTCACTGTTAATCGTGTCATTCATATAGGGATATGCCGCAGTCTCCTGTACATAACCTAACTCAACATCTTATTGCAAGCTGAAGAGGAAATGGTCCTAGAACCGCCTCAGTACAGTGGGGTTTCAGCTCACTGGACTGGAACATCGTATACTTATCCGTTCGTCCTCTTGTTAAACCTAGCAAATTCAACCGGAAGCTCCATAGTTCCTTCACTGGGAAATTAATTAATGCTACAAGACTCTGAAACTTACATGATTCGGGTCATTCGTTTTTTAATCGTTTGCGTCTTTTATCAGACATCAAAGTCGGTCAAAGTATTGTCTGGGCGGTGACCACCCCCTCGCTTCCATGATTATACTAACTTGAACCTATGTTGAGCTATTTTAGATAATCGTTTAGAATTAAAATACCACTGGCCGCTAGTATACGTGCCTAAGGTTTTGCTACAAGTCTTATATCGTCTGTAGATATGAATTATGTATGAGAATTGACCTTGATTTATGGTTGCAGCACATCGTCTCATCGACAAATTTTAGATCAACTTCGCTCATCACATTTTGCAAACCGTCATAACCTGGGTCTACCCAAGAAGTTTAAAATCTCTCTTAGGTAAAACCATTGACTATTACTGCATATTCAACGTAAGCCTCTCAAACATCAACTTCCAGCCTGCCAGAATTGGAATGTCACTAAATATCGATATTATCATAGATTAAACATCCTATAATTTATTTATTTATTAAATTTATAATCCTAACGATCAGCTGAAGACAGTTTTAAGGTCAATTCTGTACAGTTTTTGTATATATTTTTATTTTTACTACTATTTAGTTTCTTGTTGTTCATATTATTTTTTAACAATTTTTAAACAACAAAACCATAGATTAAACATGCTCAAACTATACAATTAAAACTATGTTCTTGTAACCAAACTGTAAAGCACAATTTGTAAATTGTAAATTAGTCGTTTTATACATCTAATAACTGTCTAAGACAAACGTAGTCATTGAACGGTGAAAGAGTTTGAATAAATTTGAAAAGTTTATAAGGGAGTATGATTAATCTATTGGTTTCCATTGGCACTAAATAACACGACTCTGTTGAAAAAGCGATAAATTCCCTCTTGGGTGGGAATTGACGCCATTGACGGGGATTTTGCAACATAAAGACAGTGTTTACGGGAGAAAGGAAGAGTCGCTTTCAAGGTGAGCCACTGCATCTGGGACATGGAGCTCGGAGCTCATCTCAGATCATCCTCTATGGACAAGTTTCAAAATCACTCAGCAATTATATTATATAGTACAAGGTTCGTGGAAATGTGGTGGAAACTTATCACTACAACCACAGCTTGTTACGAGTGGCTGAAAGACGAATCTTGGTTGGGGATTAAAGATGGTTTCTATAGTACTGTATTACTACTGGCAAAAGCAATCTGAGCTGTTCAGAGGTATTGTAGTCGTGAGAGGGTGTTGGTTTCGGGTTGAAAGATGTTCACAAACTATTTTCCAGGATTTGCTTATGCTAGAGAACTGGAACGATCGCCTTTCTCAACTAAGAAAATACAATGTTTTTTTTCAAATTAGTGATGTTTTTTTGTGAATTTCTGAAGCAAACGAATTATTTAATACGCTTCCTATAATCTTTGTACTATTTAAACTACTCCAATATTATAGTGAAGGATATAACAGATTATTTAGCTTGAAGTAAACGAGCATGTAAAAGGTGCCTTAGTACCTCAGTAAAGGTAGGCCTACAGTAGTACCTCTATATGATCTAATGAAGAGGTCTAAATTGTTTGTAAAAAAATAGTAGTTTTGTGGGAGACCAGACTTTGGTTAAGATTGTTTACGACAGAAACACACGAGACACGCTGTGGTACCATATATGAAATAAAAACATATTAGCCTACTTCATATATGGTGTTACACAGTAGAACAGTGGAATAGCTTTGTACAAAGGCGTATAAAAGTATACAATCTTTTATACGCCTTGGCTTTGAACAAAGAATCAATTTAATTCTTCATAAATCACTTTTGGCGATAACGGTTTATTAATATTGGATCAATAAACATAATTTATAACTATATGAGGTTTTTTACTCAACTAATTTAAAGATGTGTCGGAAAATTATTTTTTTAACCTCCAATCATTATACAGTATTATCAAACAGACTGAACATTGTTGCTATTTTTTTCACAAAAATATATTCTTCTTACGTTAACTGTGTAGCCTACAAATCATGCCTCAGAATTGATGAAGATCAAACCCCTGGATGTATATACTAAAATAACAGTTCACGTCGTAAACTATTGAAATTATGCATCTTCTTGACGTAGACTACCTGTTACACGTAAATCTTTAAAGAAAACCCAGTTTTGTAGGCTATTTAGTCTTCTTTGTAAATATATTGATAGATATACACCCAAGCCATACTATTACCCAATCACCAATTGGTCATTGGTTACGTAGAAATTTTTAAAAATTGTTAATTTAAAAATCCCATGTTATTCTTATGGAGAATATTTTAAAATGTTGTAGTTGGCTTGTTAACGTGTATATTTTGATCAAACTTGGTGGATTTATTTATTTCAAACTAAGCTATAGATATTTTAATAAAAGCACACTTTATTAGTTTCCCTGTAGCAGCTAACCTAGGTACTTGTTAAATATAAACGTTAATTTAATAGATTAATTACAAATCAATCCAGGCAAATGGAAATTCACTTGGTTGGCAGGTTTGCTGCAGAAGGGTATTATTATATCTCACCAGCTTTTTTCTTAATTATTAATTCATTTTATTAATTAATTTTATTAATTCATCTGTTTAATTGTAGACAAATCGGATAACATAGGGACTTTAAATACCACTGGGTCAGAGTTCTGATGGAGATGTCAAAACTTTATCCCACACAAATATCTCCGTCAGCAACTTCCTAAAGTTTCATGACGATCGGATAAATGGTTTGGCAACGTATAAAGGGCAGAATTACATTCATTCATTTGTATATAAAAAGAAGAAGATGATTAAGTAACCACAAGTGACACAACAAAATCCATGATAGGAAATAGAATTTCAACTGCCTCACAAACTGCCAACTACTTATTTTTTTAGCAAAAACTTCACCCCAGCTGGTAGTATACAGACATCTTCAGTATCCGAAAGGCAATGGTTTAGCCAGACGCCGGCACATTCCAACTGCACCTGTTATACAACTGGCTTGGGTCCATCTTTTCCATGGTAATGTGTGAGAAAGTCTCTTGCTTTCTCTCCTTGACGCGTGCCGACCACATACAGACAGACATCGACTATCAGCTGTTGGAATCGTCTTCGGGAGTCTTTAGGAACTGATTATTACGTCATCATTATTATCATTGAAATGTGAACACAATTCTGCGTACCTATTTTAAGTCTGGAAATAAAACGAGTTGACGAATAGAGTTGATCTGTGTAGATTTATGGATTCAGCAGTTTCATTAGGTATTTCATAAAATGCCAATTGACAAGGAAATTGTCAATTAACAACTATGAAAGCGAGATTATCAATCAAGGTCAAGATTATCAATGTTGTCGTTTTTTCCAGATTCTTATTCAAATACATCTTTTATAGTTTAATTTAAAACAAAGTTGACATACCGGTTATCTCATGCATCCCTCAGTTACATTTTTTATCTATTGTTCGTTGTGATTCTATAAATATTACCTTACTTAATTATTATGTTCAATGCTTTAGATATCGTGTTTTTAAATAAGAATGAATGAATGAATTAATTAATTAATTAATGAATTCTTTATTATTTCAGTACAATGGTACAAAAAACGAGAAAAACACGAAAAAACTAAAGAGACTCAGTGTACCTGGAGATACTAATTGCCCTCTCTGAATTTAAATGTAGTCTAAAGTATTTGGACTAAAAAGTTGTAATACTTTAAAATGTTGACTTAATTAGGACTATTGTATTTACTTATTGCCATAAATTCAATTTTTGCGAAGTACACGTTTCGTTCATAATTCAATCCATGCTACATATCTTTGGCACAAATATATAATAAGAAAGTTTCTACAACAGCTATGTCCAAAAATGAATATTAATATAAAATATTTGAAATTTTGAAATCATTTACCATTAAAAAATGAAACTCAATAATTTGTTAACACTGTGGGTTGAACGACAACCACTAGAATTATAAGCATTAGTCAGGTATTATTGGGTTGCTACAATTTTTGTTTTGGCTATTCTGGAAAATAATTGTATTAGTATTACCATTGACTATTGTCAAAGGTATTGCTTTACTTTAAGATAGACCAGAGATTAAAGTTTAGACTTTGTCAATATAAATATTAACAACAGTATTAACAGTATAAAACGGTAGCATAGGCCCTACAGTATATTACTGTATTTTCTATCCTGAGAAAAGAATTGTTATCAAGTTTTCGTTTCGTAGTCATGGCAGTACAAGATATCTGTAGTAAATAATAATCAGGTGTGGTTGTTAGAAAGTTGGACCTTTGAACTTGGCAGGACAGTCAGTGAAAGTATTGGGCAATTAACATTCGTCAGGCAAGCTATAGTGATAGGGAAAATGAAAATAAAACTACCTGCCAAATAAAAGCTAAACAATAAAAATCCTAAAAAAAACAGTAAAATCCCATAAACTTGTCATTTTAAATAGGCGCACCCCTATTATGGTAGTACAGTAGGCAAATAATGTAACTTTTTTTTCAGATAATACTCCTAGGTGGAGTAGCATTCACACTGGCCTCAGCAATCACCACAGACGACGCAAGCTCGGCCAAGGGGACAGTAGAGCCTCGAGCCCAGAGCAGGCATATACAGGCAGGCGCAGGTGTGAACCACTTCCACCCTAGGACACCTCAGGTGGCTCAGGCACTTAGGAGGAGCAGACCTACATTGACAGCTCCTCCCTACGCTGTACAGATGGAGCCACTGGTGCAATACTCACAGAGAGATCCTCTGTATCATCAGCAGCGGCTGGCGAACCTCACTAAGGACAACTCTATTGAGGATAAGGTCAGATTATAAAACATTTGTAAAGGATAGTGTTATTGAAGGAAGCAGAGGCAGTAGAGGTTCCAAGGAAGGGGCTACAAGGGCTAAAGCTCCTCCATTGTACCCTGGAATAATATATTTAAAATTACTTTTTGTACTAAAAACGTAACAGAAGTTTTTGGGCACAGTTCGATGTTAAAAAGGGCTTTAGAAAGTCACCAAACTGCTACCAGATTTTCTGGGGGAGGATCCCCAGATTCCCCTTCCTTTCTTACGCCCCCTGTAATATTCAGGTTATGAAAACCCCCGAACTCTTGAATAGGTCTTAGAACCGCCACTGATCAGAGCACATAAAACTGGGAGTAAAAGAATAATTTGTTGATAATTGAGTTTTCTTCCTGTTGAGTGAGGTCATTTAAACATACACTATGGACTTTGTCCTAAATAAAATGGAATGGATACATTACTAACATTCAAAGCAGATTGCACACAAAAAATAATTATTTATTTGATTTTTTCCTTACAAGTGGGTGTCCTCCGGAGGAAAAAAAACTACTTCCAACTAATACTTCCTTCTATAGAGGCTTCTTTGGAGGATATCAAATTATGTCTGTTGCAAACTGATTTTGTTCTATCATCAACTGCCTCTCTTTCAGAAGACAGTGCATGGTAATGATCAAAGAGAAAAGCTCTTAGCTCTTATATAGTAAAACGTACCCTGGATGGAAAAACATTCAGTCAAAATATTAGTGAATATAACCTGAAAACCATTATATACCTGGGTGAATTAACCCTTGTCAGATATGAAACATGAATCCAGAATCAGAACATAAAATTTAAAAGAAGGATGAAGTCTACTTGCAAATAATCCAAAGTCAATCATATTTAGAGTAGAATAGAGGGATAGGATGGAAGGTAATAATCAAAAAGAGTATAAATAAATTGTCGCGTTAAGTAATTATGGTTATTCATCAAAAGATTAACACAGTAATTACATTACCGGTATACACTATGGCATGCAAAACAAATGTTACATAACCATGTGATATTGTGTCATCAGAAATATGTATAGTCTTTCTTCAAGCAGCTAACAGTTCTTCATTCATAAACTGCTGTTGTTTCCAATTTCTAGGAATCTGGCTTTATTTCAATGTACCTGTTGTACAAACACGTAAAAAACAGAAAGAATCTAATATGATTTAAAAGATATTATATTAAGTAATGCAAAAATATGAAGTTAGTATTTCCCCTCTTAGTTTTCTAAACTCTAGAATGTAATTTTCCATGTTACAGGTACATAGGATCGACCACGACTCTGAAGGAACTAATCTGGCAGAGTCGTATGGTTACGACCCAAGCTACCACCACCAGCACTACTATCAGGAGCCTGAGCCAATTATTGAGATTATTATCAAGGAATCCAATGAATCGCTACCTGCACCCCCACCACCACCTGTTCAACCAGTCAAGCCAACAAAAGAGCCTGTCCATGTGTTTTACGTCAAATATAAGAAAAATCCACATGGGAAGGGGGAAGACGACATAATTTACGAAGCGCCAATTCCTGCAATAACTCCTCCAACAAATGATGAGGAGATTGAACACGATTCTTCCCCACAGCTTTCAGACACAGTTTATGAGACAGCTACAGCATCACCACCTCCAAGTACCACTCTTCGAACAGTGATTCACCCAGACTCAGAGATATATCACGGATCAGGACTAAAAGTCACCTTTGGGGAAACGGAAATAAAATCATCTGATGCTACTTATGGTGAATCCAACTCACCCAGTCCTTCTATAGCCTTGCCTAAGAAAGAAGCTCAAAGTAGGCAGTCAAATGCAGTAGTGAACAGCCACAACAGCCATTCCCCCATCAAAAGACAAGGGATTTATCAAACAATTCCTCAGGAGATTTATGATCAAAACCCTCCAAAAGTTGGCTCATCTGCTCCGGTCCCGACGTTTCAAACACCAACAGGGAGATTTCAGCAAAACTCGTTCCAGGCACAAAATACTCAGCCTCTTCACTACCATCAGTCCCAGCAAAGCAAAGTCACTTTCCCAAGACAGGCACCTACTCAACAACAACAACAGCCATCATTTAGGCCACAGCACACGGGAAATATCCTTGGTAGCACTCCACATAATCATCAACAATTCAACCACAGGCCAAACAACCACCAACTCCAACAACAGTTCCAGACCCAAGCCAGTAATGTACAGCAGAGACAAGTACCGAGACAACAAAACAATCTGTATTCTACACTACAATCTCCCACACAAAATCCTCATCAAAGACCACCATTTAGGGGTAATCAGCCTCAGTTTGAACAAAGACCTACTCAGTTCTCTCAGCCACTAAATAATCCTCAGCAGTTCCAAAAACAGCCTCAGGTCTCACCTCAATACCCACAACTGGGTCAGCAGCAACAACAAGTAACACAAAATCAGTTTAGAAGTCAACCGATCAATGTTCCTAATCAAGATCTCACTAGATTTAACCAACAACCTTTCCAGTCTTCTCAACCCTTGAACACACCTATTCCCCTTCCTTCAAAACCACTTCATCCACTGTACGCTCATCATTACCAACAGCAAATTAGTATTGCACAACAACAACGCCAGAACTTTATTCCATCAACTCACCAACCCCAGCAACAGTTCCAACCCATCCAACAACAACAACCTCTACAGCAGCAGTACAGGACTCCCCAGCCAACAGTGAACATTCCACGTCAACCACCTACTTCACAACCTATACAATCATATCAACTGACTTCCCCGTCACCCATTAGTAATGAAGCTAAACACAATGCTCCACATTTCCCTGGCGGTCAAATCATAAAATCAATTTCTGCTGCAGAAGAACACCAACTGCAGAATCAGTTTAACCAGAATGTGCAAATCAACCCTCAACCTACTGTTGATCAAATAAACCAACTCAATCAGCAGCTACGAAGTCAGCAACTTGCTCAGCAGCAGTACACTCAACAACTAGCCAACCAGCAACAGCAACAAATAAATCAGCAGCTTGCGACCCAACAACAGATAAATCAACAGTACAACCAACAACTTCAGCTCCAGCTACAGAACCAACAACAGCAGCAACAACAGCAGCAACAACAACAACAACAACGGTTTGTGAACAGCGACTCATCAAACCAGTACACTGCAAAACCAAGTCACCAGAGGCCAGCCCAATACTCTCATCCAAATCAACTTGTAAGCACAACTTCTCAACCGGTCAAGTCAACAACTGTCGCTTATCAAACAAAATACAATCAAGTATATTCACAATCACCTTCGACAACTCCAACACCCACCGAAGAAACACCCACTTCCACAACTGAGGATCCTAAGACAAAAGCAGAAAAAGAAAAGAAGTTTAAAGAGAATCTGGCGGCTTTGCCTGATGAAGTCCCTGAAGATATCAGGGAACAACTGTTATCTTCAGGTATCCTGAGTAACGCTGACATTTCAATCTTAGATTACGATAAGGTGGGAGATATTCCTATTGAAAATCTACCACCTGAAGCCTTGGAGAATTTCTACGGAGCAGGAAGTGCTCCAGTTCCAGCAGTTGTAGCTCCAGACAGTGCTCCAGTCGCTGCTGTAGCTCCGGACAATGCTCCAGCAGAGTCTAAAGATGTGGAGATGAAAGTGGTAAGATACGATCCTTCAACACAAGAGGGACAGAAAGTAGAGGATTCCTACATAAAGGACGATGCTACCCAAGTGGATTCAGTGATACTAAATGATTCAAAGTACAACAGGTATCTACCTTTAAAAGTGAGTGGTGTTAACTTCCCTCTTCCGGACGCTACAATTTTGACAGGCAAAAAAGTTAACAGTGTGGTTGTTTTGGCTCCTGTAGATTATGACTTTGTCAAAGAAGCTGAAGAGGAGGAAGAAAGAACGGGAAGATCAGCACCAGTCCAGGTGCAAGGTGTGAGGTTCATTGCTGGTAACATCCTCAAGATGCTCATCAAAGATCCTACAAAGGAGAATTATAAGCGGTGGCTAGCAAAAGAAAAAGGTCATCCAGCTGATCGACAAAGTGTTGTGCTTCTAGTGGTTTCGTAAGTATTTTTTACTCACTCATTCATTAAAATAAATTACTCAAAACATTTTATTAAGACTTAACCAAACCTGTAAGCCCAACTATGTCAAAATAAAACAAAATAAAATGATGAACAATTTTGCAATGAGGCTGGGTGGAAATGAGCTATGTCACTGGAGAGAAACCTGAAAAATACAAACACATTATTCTGAGAAGTATTTTAGTCTCATATTTACATGGGAGAGGAGTTAGCTATGTTGGCTACAGTTTTAAAAACACCCCTTCACAGGGTGTGAATAAAGTCCAAGTTTAGTTTAATTCATTGTGTATTTATAGTATGTAACCATTAAGCTGTCTCATTATTATTACAAAGATAAAAGACTTAGAATAAGTGTTAAACAGTTTTCAGCAATTCCATAGATTTTAACAGATTAAAATTTTGACACTAAATTGAGGTAATTCTACTCATGGATGTCATTAAGTGATATGTTAAAGCATTGCATATCTGTGTGTACTAAAATGCACATTCAGGCTGATCAGAAAAACAAAAATATCTCCACTTATTCCAACCAAATTATGTTTTTAAAGTACCGGTATATATAAAGTCTGTCTAGGTAGGTTGCTATATTAAAATATTACCTAATCCTGTCACAAAATAGTTGAAGCTATCTATTTAACTGTTGTGTTTGCAGACCCGATGGATCAGAGAAAGGAAAGGAGATCTTCATGTACGACATAAACTCAGAGAAGCTATCTCGACTGAGGGGAGAACTAAGCTCAACATTTGTTGAGGTAAAGCTTTTTTCATAGCTGTCTGAAGTTTTAGCAAAGGAATAAGCTAGATTATCGTAGGTCGCATTGTAAGACATAGGCCAGCACCGATTTGTTATTGTGATGTGTCCAGAGGGCCCAGAGGCCAAAAGCACCATCTGTTCACATTAATTCATAAAATATACGGTATTTCTAACAAGTATGCACACCAGCATGATCAGACTATGGGAACAGGGTTATAGTAGGGGTTTTCCACAGAGAAGGAGGGTACAGAGAAAAGACTCAATGGTACACTTAAGAAGTGTCTATCACAGTCACTGGTGTCTAGGGCAAAGTCAAACCGCCACCCTCTCCCTCGTATGCTGCAACGCACGGCAAAGGAAGACCCTGTGCCCCGTGCTATAGGGATTTCCTCCTAGTGTTTGCCTCTTGAGCTCTTCCTTGCTTATCACAATTATAATTCCGGCACAACATACTAGACCACCGACCGCCGTGGTCAAACGTGGTGACGGGCCGTGTCAAACGTGTTGCTTCTGGCAAATTTATTTATTTCATACTTTTTTTGTGGTGAGGGGGTAAAAATTTATTTACGCAGACTGAGATCCTAAATGCCCTTTCAGTAGTGCCAGACTCCCGCGGGCCCAATGTCCCCAGACTACCGGCTAAAAAACCCCTCATCTCCTAGGGCACTAGACTGGAACTGTTAAGCACATTACTTCGGGCTAGACCTTTTACATTATGCCACTAGGGCTTTACATCTTATTTCCTCCGAAAACTGAGGCGGATCAAGATCGACCTTCTTATCCTGAAGTATGGCCTCAGTGAACTGCTTTACACAGTTCCAGGATCCCACACCCTGGAGCATATCTCCAACGATGTTGTCGGGAGTAATGTCGACGCCGATCTCAGAGATCAAGGAGGCTAAAAAAAGAAGGTGTGCTCGGCCGTGTCTGCAATGCTGGGACAGTACAGACAGATCGGGCTGTCGGTCTTCCCGCAAAAAGGTCCGGAAGTACCATGACCTGACAAAAACTGGGTCAAGAAATACCCAACCTCACCATGCTCCCATTCCACCCATGGTCGGATGCTAGGCATGAGCCTGGCGGTCCAACGTCCCTTAGACTCAGTGTCCCATTCACACTGCCAGCGGTTAAAACTGCGTTCTTCTCTGGCAGCAGTCTCTCTGTCTACTTCAGATCTCCTGCAGTAGATCGCCTGTCGCTCCCTCGCGAGATGAAAGACGGTAACAACACTGGCAATCACCATGACTGCAGATCAAGAGCCATAGTAGAATGAAAAGGTTAATTAAAGGAAAAGTAAAAATACATAAACTAAAATCAAAACAAATCTAACAGCTGAAATATCTTAAATATTTTAAATGTAATTAAATACAGCCCTTAAATTCAGGTTCCTATCCTTAGGAGAGGGTTTATCAAAAAACGATATATATATATTTTGGGGAAGTTTCACATCAAGACCTTTGTCTTCAAGTATGCAGTTGATCAGTGTGCGGCTTATGGTTTTCTCAAATGTTCAAAACCTTCCTTGCTTTATAAATAAAGGATGGATCTGACATTTTTTTTTAAAGTTTTAGTGAAAATTAAATTAGGCGATATAAGTTCGCTTAGTCTGCAGGTTTGCTGCAGTGGGGGTATTTACTTTGACATTGGATAAAACTAGACACTTCATGTAGTGAGTTTTATAATCAAAGTAAAGTTGAATAAAACCATTAACTGTGTGCGCTGATGTAAATTAGTGATTTCTTTCAAATACACCAACTTTTAAACTGAAGAATAACATTGTAAATAATTATAATATTTTATGTCACATCATCCGACATACAAAATATAAAACGTCTAAGGGATGTGCATGTATTGTTGTTAATAACATAATATAAAGCAAAATGGCCTAAATTTTGAGGAGTATGTCATGGTAGCATCCTTATCTCATCTGAATGGGAAAGAGTTGGTTGAAAGATTCTATTCTGGCACAATAAATAAAAAAATTAAGAACCTCACAAGGCAGTGGTCTGGAAGACATCTCTCTTTCAAACTCAAACTCTCCTAGTTTGAAAATGCTGTTAGTAACACATAAATATTCTAACTTGTTATCTATGGTGCACAGTGTTTTGTGTCTCTTGAGTCAGGATGTATGGCCTATTCAGGTAAGCCTGCTATACCAACAAAAATTTGTAATATATGTATTGCTTTAGAGTTATAATAACTAACTGATGTACGTTTGTTTTCTGGGACAGGTAGCTGAGAGTAATGCAAGCAGTCAAGAACTGGACGGGCTGTCAGATACTGAGGGAGCAGCTTCGGCAAAACATGAGGTCAGAGTGGCAGCCCCAGCCAGTGTGATACCAGCACAGGTACGCTGAACAATAATATACCCAAAATGTTAAGACGCTTTCATAAATTAATCTAAGCCTCACTAAGTCAAGGTCTCCACTGACCTTTTGTCGCCGTCAAGGGGCGTCAAGTGGTCAAGTTTAAATCTGAGATCAACGTTGTGTTCCTTATTTCATTCACTACTATTATAGCTGATTCCCAACCCCCGGTGTAATCAGATTACCTCCAATACTTGTTCTTAATTCAAATTGGGGATGAAACGAGTCAAGACCTTCACTCAAATGATTACTATCAAAAAAGATGGGGACACAAATGGACTTGTTTTATCCCCAATTTGAATTAAGAACAAGTATTGGAGGAAATTTGATTACACCGCTTATGGGTATTCAATGTTGAGATTAAGCATTTTTTTGTTCCTCAAAAGATTGACCCAATCTGTTTTAAAAGCAATGGATTTATGACTTGATAGACTTGTTAATAAACTAATCATTTAATAAGTTAATTGGTAAATAAATTATTGCAAAATACAGGTCTTGTCACTGGGTTCAAACATCATTGAATCATTTGAGGCGGTTTACTTTTTGACCTGCTCATAAAAACCATCTCCAGAATAGAGCATGAAAAAATGCATAAAATACAAACATCAAAGGAAAATTAAGCTGGACAGGTACAGAACCAACTAAATTTAACTCTCTTACAACCCCTCTCTTTTGTCAGCAAAAGTGTATTTCATGAGGGGTTTCAACAAATAAAGGACTCCATCCAGCTCCAGTTGTAGCCTATTTAACTAATCATTTATTCATTCATTTTCATTTTTCATCATTTATATTTTCATTTTTATTTAACTAAACTATTAATTTATTAACTTATCTCTACGGCAGATCTACTGCCCATTTTAAACTTCTCCCCAGGTAGTGGCCCCAGTATAGAATCTTATATCATGTTTCGGTTTTCAAAATAAAATTTGGCAACAAAATGTTGTATTTCAGCACACACCGCAATCCAGGTTGGACTTGGCCCAAATCCCGGAGGATCTCACTATAGCTGCTTCAGAACCTGAGGAGAACACAGTTTACCAAGCCCCAACTATCAGCACAGGCTACAGCAAGATGGCTGTGCAGTGAAAATGTTGCCATACCTAGTGATACTGACTGTACGGGTTGTAATTCATTGTAAACTTGCGACATTACGAACACAGTAATGTTCAAACATTGAAATCGGGTGCTACACCGAAGTCAATCTTCAGGACTCCAAATGATTCTCAGAATTCAGTGTCTTCAAAAACATATTGATTTCTTACATTGTAGGTTATTATTTCAGTTTAAAAACTCTTATCTGAGGTTCATTTGATACTGTGCTTACGATTTGTTTCCTTAGAGCAAATGGTCAACTGAACCTCTTTTTAAACAATCTAGTTTGGTTTTTGCCTCATCCTAAAATTATTTACTTCAGTTTTGAACTAAATCCTCTCCTTTAGGTGATTTTTGTGTGATATTTTTGCACATAATATTGTTTATCTGTTGAAATAGAGCAGAACATAGTAAATTTGTTTGAAGCACACTTTTAAATGTTAGCTTTAAGGTGTCCTAAAAACTAGAAAAAATAGTTTAATGTACTATTTGATTTTATACAACTCGACCTTACATTCTATCTTTGTGTTGAAAAGATAGAAAAGGCATTAAGATACAACAGAAAACCAGTATTTAATTATTGTTCTCATGCGAATTCAAACAAAGTTTTTATTGATTAATTAGGAATCTGTTGTTATTAGTTATGTAAATAGCACTGTATAATAAAGTCACAAATTTTTTCATTGACTCTTCTGTAATGTTAGTTATTTTTATGGATTTCTAAAGTACTTTTCTCCATTGCCTTCTAGACTTCATAGTACACTTATAGAAACTTAAAAATACTTTTCATAATATAGAATGTTTTATTGTTTATATTTTCTTCTTAGAATGTAATTACTTAATTTACTTATGACTTAAATGTGTTACAATATTTTATACTGTTTATAAAGTAATTTAACATTTTCCTATAACAAAATGAAACCTGTGAGAACCTGTGATATCTTTATGTGTTCATTATCATGTTTATGAATTTTATACAATTGAATTACAAATTGACACACTCCTACAAAAACAAAAGGATTCTCTCAATATTTTTTGGTAAGTTTACTTTATTGCTACTTATTAAAAAACCTTATGTAACCCAAAAGTTATTAAAAAATTACACTTTATGGTATCTATCTACTCCACAGATTGCTCAAACTGTGCAGTTTCTATATAAAATAGGTATTTTTAGAACTTAAGTCACCTGTACATAAAATTGTATAGCTTTATTTTATAATAAATATTTTTTAAATAGTTTTGCTTGTCTTTTTGTTGTTATAAACTGTCACAATTTACAGTACACTATTGCGGTATTGCCAAGTTTTAGTTTTAATTACTTTTAACAATTCTTGTTCTATTTGCAATTCTTGTTCTATTTGTGTATCTTGTATAGGATCATTAAGAACACAAGGTAACAAACAAAATACCCCCACTTTGGCAAACCTGCTGCCTTAGCAAATTTCTATTTGCCCGGTTGGCTTTCTACTAAAATGTTTTTATAAACTTGTCAGATTTCAGATTCATTCCCGATTAAAAAAACAAAATTAAGTTTAACGAGACTAACAAGAGGTTTTTTGTTACAGAGAAGGTAGCAAAGATTGTTTTTAGTGAAATAATAAAAGCATAGTATCTTTGACTATTGATACAACTAGACATTTCCGTGTTAGCCTTAGGTTGTCACGATTTTTGATCAAAATTAGAAAGTTGTCGTGTAGTTAATGTAAGCCACGGAAATATTGTGCTAATCTAAATTACTAATTTCTATTGAATACACAAACTTTTTCCCAATTAAAACTGATAGAATGACTTATTTTGTGAGCTATAGCGACTTTAAAGACCCATCATTTTTTAGCAACAAATTTTAGCAATGTTATTTTTTTATGCTGTACACAACATTTTGGCTGCCTGGGAGGAAGGTTTCCTGGGTTCCCCCACCAACTTTTTTTAGCCTAATGTATTTCTGTTGGCTGTTATTTTAAAATTAAGGTGAGGTGGAGATTTAGTGTTGCCTTGGGGAGGGATGGAATCGTTTCCCCTCACTCCGTAAAAATTTTGTTAACGGAGTATATACAAACCACCAAATAACAATGTCAATGAAAATGTGGTCAAAATACATCCACAAACAAGCAAACTACTTTTACCTACTTACACTCCAAAATAATAGCATGTAAATTTATCCCTTTTGAAATCTTCTCTTTAGATAATTTAGCGCACAATGCAACACATTTAATTATTTGCTCTTTTTAATCTCTGCAACATAGTTTGGAAATAAATTGCTTATTGTTACAATCATTTAAAGAAATTTTCTAAGCCTTTTAGTGAGCGTGTACATTAGGCTGTATTGTGCGTTCTTTCCAACATGTTGTGGGTCGCTGTGTTAGGGGATCTCCCAATGAGTCATGGTGACTGTACAGTAGAACATTCCAGGAACGTCCGGTGATGATTAGTACACAAGGCGAGGTAAAACATTATGTTCCATTTCATATCCAGAAGGTATAAGGAGGACTTCAGCATGGTTTGGCATGGATTGGGGTTTAAATGTGGACTCTGTTTCATAAAAATTTTCCCAATGTCCTATTGTGGTTCCGGAAAAACCTGCCATCGTAGATTAGTCATTATTAAGTTTAATAAAGTAATTAAAAAATATGATTCATTTGGTTAACCCTCCCAGGTCACACTCTTTTGCATGTTTGTTCTTACCAATGGTTTTTTTAGTGAGTGTGTTAATGGATGTTTTCCATTAAAAAACACTCATCCTCCCACAACTTGTTGACTCCATATAAAAAATAGTTTTATTCTACGCAGAATTCATTGCAGAGTCATTAAATATTACTTCAGAAGCTATGATGATCCTCTATATTATGATTGATACAAGAAACTTTTTATCTTCCGAGGCAGACTTATTAGAAATAAGCGAATTTCCTTAAATGGAAGTAACTATTACAGCAGGTGGCATGGTAAGACCTTAGACCCAGGACCGATTTTCTTTTTCATTTTTGTGCCCCCCAGAGGCTAAAATCACTAGTTGTTCAAAGTTTTATATGTGCATCTAGCCTATATATTCATTCAGGCAGTTCCTAAGTGGCACGGTAAGACCTGGGCCCCGAACCGATATCCTTTTTCATTTTGATATCCTTAGAGGCCAAAAACACTATTCGTTCAAATTTTTATATTATATTAATAACAATTGAACAATTCATAGCAACAATATAACAGTTTATACAGCGGGAAATGGTTCTATGGGTCAAAATAAAGAGAAAATCAAGAATAACTTTTTTCCAAAATCCCTTCGTCAACCAGATTTTGTATTTTTTACATAAACATTTTTATTTTTGGATTTTTTCAACCGATCTTTATAAAACTTGGTATGTAGGTTAGTCATAAAATCAAGTATAACTAGTGTACCTGTTGCTTGAATTCGAGCAATTGTCAAGTACCGGTATTATACAGAAGTTATTTTAAAACTACAGTTATAACAGTCATAATTATTTTCGATGAGTTTAAAAGACCCGACTAAAAACTTATGTAACTAAATGAAATACTCACGCTATTTAATGGGGCTTTGAAAATAAACGCTTCTTGTACAAATATTTTGCATTTTTTAAACCCGGCCTTATTTTTTAGCGTTTTCTACAAATGTTTCCCGACTTAAAGCTGTTACCAGTAAACATTACTTTCATGTATTTATTTGATCTGACATTAGGTAGGTTTACTTTACCACTGTAACAACATGATGTGTATATTATTCATGGTTTTTTTACTTCCAAAATAACTTGCTTAGCATAACTGGCAACAATGATTCATCTCTCCAAGTTATTGTGTAGGCCTACCTGGATTCCCTATTGTGAGACCAGGCCTCTCCTCTACTCTTCTCATATATATAAGATTTCCTATTAATTGTCTCCTCCTCCTGTTTTCAATATTTCTCCTTTAAACTCAAGAAATTTTCTGTTCTTCCAACAAAACTGATTAACTGTTTAGATTTGTTTGTAACCTCCTAAATATTACAAACATCAATATTTACTCCCAAAAAGCTGGTGAGTTTCATTTTATATACAGCTGTTTTTGTTTTTAAATTTGTTCAATGTAATTCTTATGGGGAAAATGCGACCTTTGAGAGCGTCTCGAGCCCTTAAGGAAGAGAATTTTCAAGTTCTAAAACCTTAATGCAAAACGAATTGAGACGAATTAGTTGACATCTCAAACGTTAAAATCGGTCCAGAAATAACGGAGGAGTTTTGTTCACAAAAACAACCCTCACATATAAGAGATTTTTTATTATAAGAAAACGGCATTTGCAACAGCTCATTGTGCCGGTGCATCAATTAAACTAATTTAATTTTCATGACAAACTGCCAACAACAAAATACAAAATGAACGTACACTTCACGGTAAGTATACCTAACAAACTAACCGTCTTCACAGGTACCTAGTATTCTTTCATATGCGTGAGAAGTGCATAACATAATGGTTCAATATATCTCAATCAATGTTCCTTTTTCCGTCGGACCGGTCGAGCATGGAAACCACAACAAAACTGGTTCGAGGAAAACAAACTCAAAAATTTGCGAACTGGCCGATAAATTGGTCGGGTTTGGCCGCCCATAAAGGTCAAAGTCGCGAAACTCGAGATTGAGCTGACTAACGGTCAGATTTGCAGAACTGGTCTACTCGCCCCTCCCGGCCCCGCGGGACCCAGGACAGAGGAATGTCATCTGGAGGTGTTGAACTCAGTCTCAATAACTCTGTGAACAATCTGCAATTGAGAGTCGGTAAATAATAGACAAAACGTGTGAAAGGATAAATCACAATGTATAATTCTACAACGGTGCTTGGAAGTCGGAAGACACACGTGAGCCTAAAGTAAACCTCCCCTGGTAGCAGAGGTGATGTCATAACCTTGATCGTGTACGTGCAAATAAACAGAAAATAAGTATTCAGCAAGAAGGTAAATACAACGTTTCAGTGTAACTATTTGCCAAAGTTTAGATTATTATCGACAGTCACACACGAATAATGAATCAAAACCCTATAACAGACATATACGAGGTAAATTAAACTCCAGGTAATCCCGTTTTACAGATTTATTGGATTCTATAATTTGTGATTTTTAAATCATTATCTTACAAAAGTGACAAATTCATAGATTATTGTGAAATACTTCATACCATTTTGATCTTAGGGGTTTCCTATGCTTAAGCAATATGAAATTAGGTACCTATATATGTGACCTATGCAAGAAAAAAATACACTTTTTAACTACTGATGTTAACTGCTCTGAAATAATTGACTGTAATAATGCCAATTCATTGGCAATAGATCCGCATTTGATTTGATACATTCCCCATGTCAAAACTGTAGCCCAGCATTATCAAATTTTGATCGAGCCTCTGACATTGGTTTGACATCAACTGATTCCTTTCGTCAACACCGACTGTAACGAAAATATAATTTTTACAGGAACACACTTTGCACACAGCTCATTCAACTGTGTTGTATATTATAGTACGGTCCACGAGAGTCTGCAGTTGAGGGAGGAGCCTATTTACCATGTGACTTCAAAGGAGCCAATGAGGACAGTGTGGTGTTGCCAAATCTAATAATACCAGCTGTTGTTCAAAGGAACATTAACTCACCATCACCAACAATGAACTTCAAACAAAGAATACCAGCCGATTTGAAAATACTGTATGGTATATTTTAATTAGTGTCGAGAATTAGTGAACGAGCGATGTTGCTTATGTTGAGACGTCTTCTGTAGTATCAAAAATCAATGGATTCAACTGAATCGTAGACAATGGTTTTTGTCTATGACTGATTTTTTCTCGGCTCGCTTCTGGGGCGAGTTTACAAGCGAGTATCCAGCGAGTAAACGAGTACGACATACAACTCCTGTTTCTCCCGTTTCCTCTGACATCATCAAGACTAATTCTACTTTGTAGCTTGTGCAAAAGAATAAACCTGTAGGAAATCAGAATAGTTTTACAATTTAGTTCACTCAAAATCCGTTGGGTGGGGTCTAAAGTCACCGAGAGAGTAAAGCTTGATTTCAACAGCAGCTATCGAGTACTTACTCGAGTACACTGCTAGTTTGAAAGCTAGTAAAACCCCCAATAAGAGCTTGCTGACTTGCCGTGTATAACCGAGCATAACATACCAGGGTTGACATTTAATCATATCTACGTCCTATCGATCTGAATATTAACTGTCAAATGTCGTTATTATCCTTTGATCTGTGACATTGTGATCAATACATTTGATCGTTATCCTTTGATAGATCTACTAATCTCGCATATATTGATATTGAAGTCTCGCCCCCGCATTGGACCTTGGCTGTGGATTGGTCTGGGAATTCTTGGGCGGATCCCGGCGTGGTCCTTGGCATTATCCTGGACCTCGGACACTTAGTTGCTAGGCGATGTCAAAAACAACAATGCTCATGATTGCATTCATCAAGTGATGTTAAGTGAAGAGAGAAATATTTATACGAATTTGTTCGACTAACAAGCATATGGTTGCCTGTTCGATCAGACAAAATCCAGTGGCTTTTTGGTGGATCAATTATCAATCATTGGGATGGGGATACTACCTAGGTATTTGGGGATTTTAACCCAAATACGAGTGAAGTATGGGCGAGGAATGGTGTGAGATGGTCTGTGTAGGTTTGTTGCTGACTAAGATCAGCTGTTTCATTATCCAAGATCATTATATACAGCCCAATGATCAGTAACAGCTGGGTCCAGTTTCGAACCATCATAAAGATACAGACTTTTCTCAGGATCTAGCCGGTGACCTTTTGATTGTTAGGTGAGCACTATAACCACTCGGCTACCCTAAGCTAGACCTAAATATTCTTTCTGATTGTTTGGTCATGTTAGCAGTATTCAGTAAAAACTCGCAGTACACAAATTATCTCACTTCACTCTACACACATTTTGCATTCATTTGCATTCTGTGGATTTGTCTCTTATGCATCATCAAACCGATTTGATAGCTGTGAATTTTCGGCTCTTGGGCTTCTAAGGTTTCGTTCTGTACAGCCGGAGGTAAGTTAGCTTAGTTATTGGAATCATGTTTATTACATAAACAAAAAATGTAGCCATACATTCATAAACACCTGTTATGTTCTAAAATCACATAAACGCTCGACGGGTAGGGTCGTTATGTATAAAATAATCTTGTATCTCGTTCCAATTTTTGCGCGTACCAGTTTTTTACACAAACTATTGAGATTTTCTTGGTAAAAGTAAAAGTATCACCCGGATACGAATACGGTGAAGTTGATGATTAAAGTCAAGCGAAAGTTTCAAAATAGAAGCGCATACCTGGAGTGAGTTGGTGGGACGGGTGCGGCATGTCAATCGTCTTACCCATCACACACACGTGGACTTAGACTCTAACTCTAAAACTCTTTCTCAAACTCTAACTACATCAAAATCTACCTCACATAACTAGCTGTGGTTTACAGATAGACACACAGCAACATATGAAAACCTCATGCTAAACGGAGCATGAGTTTTTGTAACTGTAAATCTATTTTACAGCGTGTCAAACATTTGATTGGATTAATGCATAATAATGATTTTCACAAAAAATGAAAACGTAAATCCCTTTAGCTCTTTTATGAGTTTTTTTCTTTGAGCTCCGCTCCACGCAAATAATCATTTTTTCTTAGCTTAGGAAAAACACATTTTCCCCATAACTGTTGTTTCGACAAACCTATGCGAAGGTTACTTGTTGTGATTTACAAAGATTTACATTATTTGTCAAACAACTTTCTAGCCTAAAACAATCTAATATATATTTAGATTCTTGCACATAAGAGCTGACAAATTCTTCAACGACAACCTTCATTAAACACTGTAGCACTTGATAAACGCCGCCACCAATGATCTTGAACTTGACTGGTGAGTAGTGAGCTTCTGGTTTGTTTACACAGAAGTCATTGACTCTAGAGTGGCGAGGACGCAGCGATGAGGACGGACGAGTGAAGACGCTCAGTCTGTAGTGAGGAGTGAGGCCGCCATGTCCTCGGGTCATGTCTTGGTGTCTGTCCTCGTCCTCGTGACCTCGGTTCTCTGTACCCAGGATACCAACAGTACCAACACCGGTGAGTTTTCGGATTCATTATATATAACAATGTAGGAGGTAATAGTTATAATACAAGAGCTGTGGCTTAAAAAAATAGAGATGGGACGAAACTTTGGATCAAGGGGAAATATAAAAACATCATCTTTTATACGATTCGGAAATATAGAAACAATATTTATTAAATACTTTTTAGAAAAAAATCTTTAGTTCGGTAACAGTTTATTTTATGCAATTGGGCGATTGACTTTTATACGTCACATAACAGGGTTTAAGAAACCGTTTACTTAAATAAAACTTTTTCGTTTTCAAAATGTTGTGCATGAAATCAATAAGCTAACCAAGTCGATGCAAAGGACAGCAGAAAAATTAGCTTGTGATTAAATTTCATTAGGCTATGTTGGTTGAGCTGCAGAATAAAACCTTTGCAGAAAATGGCCTAACAGACAAGAAAAGTAAAAAAAATCAATATTAATAATAAAGTATTGTAAATATCCGTGTTATTTTGAAAAATACATTATATATATTGAAAGCAACACAGCCAAAACTATTTGATATCTTTGTATACAACTAAGATTATTCATACAATTAACCAACTATCCTTTCTACACGACTTTAATACGAATTTCAATATGTAAATCATTCTCATAATAATTGGATATTTACAAATAAGTCACATAATTATTTTTTAAATTTAATAAAATCGCATTGGCTATTTTAAAGGAATTCACAGTTCCGATAATCTGCAAGAACTTGTAAATAATCAAGTATTTGGGAAATACGTGCTGAAAACTTAGTTCTCGCAGGCTTTTCCTAGATTAACCCGGTCACCCCGTTATAGAATTTGAAGGCTCATTATGTAACTTTGAAGATTTCACTTTTCAATCAGCTTTTAAAGTCAGAAAATTGTATTTCAGGAGCTTAAAGGCAAATTTACTTTACATGTAAGCTATATCAAAATACTAAAAAAATAGACTTCATAGTAAGTTGTGATATTGAGATTATAAAACAACCTCGATTAATTTATTAATGCTTTCTATTAATTAATAACTATTCCTAAGCCATCGAGTAATTGTATACGGGGTTGAGTATTAAAGTACTGTTGAATAAAACACCAATAATTGGCGATCAATTGCCGTAAAGCAGGAGACTTCAACGCGTGGTTTGACTGAAGTAGCATTTCTCACAGGTAATATACATACAGTCATTCGGTTCGAGCTGAATAAGCTATAGGCTAAATATAAACGGTCAAAGGGGTTTTAACGTAATATAGCTCATATCTGCCATGGGAGCCAGTGTTACTGTAGACATTGAAACCCCAGAAGCACTCAATTAATTATTACATGAAAATAAGCGAAAGTGGGTTTTTGAATAATAAGGATTGACACACTGTACCGCTCGACTGAGGTGTTTAATATAAGTTAACGGTTCATCCAGCAAAAAATACGTTACGTATACAAATTTATCCATGTTTAAAATAAATGAATGGAAACATGGTTGTGATTCTTTATGATGGGGAACCATCCCATTCATAATAGACAGCCTATAGAACGAACAAACCCGTCCTCCATTGTATCCGAGGTGTTTGTCTTCTTCCATTCGGGTTTGCTGGGTCAAATGGCGAACAATCAAATCAGCTGTTGAATAAAGCAATCAGCTGATTCAGATATGCTGCTTGTCAAATTATATTACGTGTCCTGTGCAAATCATGTGGTATTGTTGGTGGAATTACAATAAGCTTATCTTCATTTAATATTGTACTATTTATCTCTCTTTTATATGAATAACTATCAACGAGGCCCTAGCTTTTAATGATTTGTGCTGATCTTAAAACTGAGTCAAACGTTTTCAACAAATTTCTTCCGCAATAGTAGACACGTTAGGAGGGACTTACATTTTCCTTTAACGGTATGAGAGGTGAGGCACTCCTTAAATAATCCACTATTCAGTTTTAATGGGCAATAATTTCAATGAATGACTCACTATTATAATTGTTTGATTATTCAATTCAGTAACTATAGAACATAAACATATTTCTCTAGCGGAGAACAGAATATATGACGTAAAGCTATTGTTGCCCACTGGAAGGCAGGCCCGTGAAACCTAATGATGTTACACTTATTTTCCTAAGCGACGTCTGCATCACCGCCTATTTTTACGAGAGTAATAATGAACAGAAAATAGGTTACAAATTTAATGATATTCTTCGACAAAGACCTTAAATTTCTATCAAAAAGTACAGTGTGGTTTTTACGAATATTGTACAACCTATCAATAACTACATATGTACAGTTGTGCATGTTTTGCTCATGAAAAATCATGTCTTCTGTATAAATACAGGACTAGCGAGTATACACAAAAATGTTAAAAAAGAACCGTGAAAAAAGGATCCACACTAAAATACAAGAAGATTTTATACTCTTTTTAGTTAAATATCACTTTATTTTACTTTTTTGACTTGCCATGTCAGGTATTTTTCATCGATAAAAAAAAAACACGATTTTCAGGAATAAACTGAGGTGCTTAACCCCTCAAACTCACCCTAGCAAATCATTCATGGCAATATTCAGTGTATTTATGTATATGACGTAATGTGTTTTGGGACACGAGTCATAGGCAGTAGACTCATCGCCGCGCCTGATATACTCACTGTAGAGGAAGGTATAATCTGATGGCTCTTGTCCAAGGCACCCACTGATGCCCAGTTGGGTGTAGGAGGTCTATAGGTCCAGGGTTCATCAGCGCTGGAGAGGATGTTGAGTATGTTTCCTGTTGAGGAATTTTTCTCGGATTTTCCATCACTGCTAGTAAAAAAACTACTACTTTTCATGACGTTTCGATATATGGGCTCAGATCCCGTAATACGGTTAGAAAGTATCTAAAAAGGCCAAAGCTGAAAAATCACAAAAGAAAAACCACACAGAATAAATATACACATCTACATAGATCGAGCTATCGAATGTGGGTACACTAACGTTAACATGTAAGTTAGTCACAGTATCTACTACAGGATGCCATTCATCTCAATTCACAGGTTCGCTATTTGGTTCCAGACTTAGATAATAGGTTCCATCTAAGTAACAGGTTGGCCCTGGAACTTTCCGGTTTGATATTGGATATTAAAATAATGGGTTCTTCATTCCCCTTGCAAATGGTTTCAAACATTATCTTTAATAATTATTATCGAAAGATGGTACATGCTGTTAAAAGCACAGGTTATTGTGCAATGTTTCATGTTAAGTTATGTTGGAACGCTACCTATGTAACCCTATGCTCACTAGTTGCACAAATAAATATAATCCACCAATCATTTGACATAAACTCGAAATTTTAGAGAAAAATTTAAGTGTCAACTAAAAGTCTCTCTCTTTTTCTCGCATTCTTTACAACTGTGCTTTACTGTTTGGTAGTAATAATTGCAATGTGTGAAAACGAACAAGGACATAAACATATCTTCAATTCTCTTCAACTGCTCGATAAGCATTGCGGATCTCTAAGGTAGCATTTTTAATCCATACTCTAGATACTTCACATGTCAAACTAGATTAGGAAACTATCTTGTCGCCATAAATAACTGGAATCTACCACTTAATCAAAGCTAAAGATGATATTATAAACGATTCTCTTCACAAAGAACTACTCATTTGAGTAACTAAATCCTGGTTGATCCGTCAACAGTTCAAGTTCATTGCCAGTTTCACTCCAGTGACCTTTAGATTCGCGGAACGTCTGCGCTGTCACCGCAAGGAACGGCGAAGATTAAACAGCTGATCCGCCACAGGGAACGAAGAACTTAAACAGCTGATCTCTAACATCAATCAACCAACCTCCCAGAACCGTCTTCTAAGTGACCATTATCTCTTTAAGTGACTCCGCCCCACCCGGCGGCCATTGGGAATGAGAATTATGATTTATTGGTGTTTCCGAAAAATATGCTAATAGAATTCATACTAAGGATCGTGTGACAGGAGATACCGGGAGTAATTAAAACACCACTCCAGGGAATTGATCTCTACCAACGATCACATAAGACCAGTGATCGTTGATCTCTACTCGGTATAGAAGTGTAGATAAGAAATGAACCAATCGTTGTTGGAACACCAAGAGTTCCCCCCCCCCTTCTTCTAATAATAGATTAAGATAATAATAAGAGATACCTAATAATAGATACCTTGTTCTTTATTAATAGATTAATGATACCGCCTTTAAGATTTTATGGATCAGCTGAAGACCAATTGACATCAAGCGTATTATTTTCAACGTGAATTATTCAAGCGTATGTATGAAAGAGACTAAACTAGAGACAAAATTATGGATGTCCAATGCCAACAATAAGCTTGTTGTTTAATGTTGTTTTCCTCGTGATATCTGAGCCACGATCTGATCATACATCTGGCCTAATTACATCTGCCCACGCCTGTAACGGTGAGAGACGTTTCATTTACCACACCTATTACGGACGTCGCAAACCGCAAATCACACCTGAGGTTCATAGCGAGGTTTCATTCAGGATCTTTAAAATGTTGGCACAGATTCACCGCGTCAATTGTGTTCTTTTGGCTTGTTTCTGATAGTTTTAAAAACTTATCATGAGTTTGTGTCTATAGGTATGCATTTACATGCATTTATTTAGTTAGAGTAGTATATAAGAGTATCACAAGATGAACTTAGATCACAATCAGCACCTCGAGGGATCACAATAAGCACCTCCACATAGCAAAATAAGCGCTCCTCATATCACAATAAGCACATCCTTACAGCAAAATAAGCACCTCCACATAGCACAATAAGCACCTCCTCATAGTACAATAAGCACCTCTACATAGCACAATAAGCACCTCCTCATAGCACAATAAGTGATAGAATTACAATCACATTAGGTACATAAATTATCTCGCTAGAAATGAACATCTTTCAATAATGCTTATCACAAAATAACAGGAGCGCCAGCTTTCCAAGAAACCTTGGGCGTTTCACATGAACCGTGCAGAAATTAATAACCCAGCTTGCCTTGGCAATCAG